GTCCCCACCACCCGTGTCGGCACACCCCTCACACGCTTCGTGGGCCCATAGGGAGCTCCACCGAAGGCCCCAGTGGCACCGTTCGTTTGCGTCCCCCGCCGCCCATTTCGTCACACCCCTCACATGCTTCGTGGCCCCATATGGAGCTCCACCGAAGGCCCTAGTGGTGCCGTGTGCATGCGTCCCCGCCACCGGTTCCAGCACACCCCTTACACGTTTCGTGGCCCTATAGGGAGCTCTTCCCAAGGCCCCAATGGCGTCTCTCGCATGCGTCCCCCGCGCCCTTACGGCACACCGTCACACCCCTCACACGCTTCGTGGTTTCATAGGAAGCTCTACCGAAGGCCCCAGTGGCAATCTCGCATGTGTCCTCCGCACCCATGTCGACACATCCTTCACACGGTTCGTCGCTCCATAGGGAGCTCCTCCGAAGACGATAATCACAACCACGGTACTTACAACAGCATGTGGTTGAGCACTTCGGCTGGATAATTTAAAACGGCCCCCCCAAGAAATCCAGACTCTTTCCCTCCATGGGCCTGATTTTCATACTGAATCGTTTTGTTGACTGCCCCATCAGCCCGAAGACCACCCCCAGATGCCAAAAAGAGAAACTAACCGGCGTCCTGAGTTCTTCACAACGCTGGATGCCTGGGCTCGGAGAACCCGCTCGCAGTGCCAGGAGGGGCGCTTTCGGCACCCCGCGCCGCCGATATACGGTACGTTGCGATACGACCACCGCCGCGGACATCGTCTGGGCCTAGCTAAGACCAGGTGGGCAAGGTCGTGGCCTCAGGAATCTGGTGTGCCTGGACAACATGCAATGCGAGACCCCGCGCCCTCTCTACAGGAACAAACAACGGCACGACCACAAGTTTTCGGAGCTCCATGCGGATGTCTTGGCTCTGCGCTGGGCCCGCGCCAGATGCGCTGCCACGAGGGGTCCAGCGCCGACACCAAGAGATCCACGCGGAGCTCCGACAGTTGATGTTCATGGTGTTCTCCTTCCTGCGATGCCAGGAGAGGCGCTTTCGGCACCCCGCGCCTCTGCAGCCGCCCCCCCCCCTTTTGGCGGGTCCAGCTCATGACCAGTCGCCACGCCGGAGCCCTCGAGGGCGTGCAGGAACTCCTTCGGGCTGGGGGCGGGCGGGGAGAACTTGGGCGTGGAATATTCGGGGGGCGATCAATGGGGGAGCAGCGAGGGCTGCAGAAAAGGGGCCCCTGAAGGGCCCCTGAAGGGTCTGGGGCCTTTAGGGCCCGAAGTGCACCTTTCTTCCCTCCCTCATTCATCGCCCCGCCACGATTCGAGGCCCCCTCTATTAATCGCCCCCCAGCCCTGGAATTTGGAATTACTGGCGCTGCCAGGTTGGTATTACGTCAACGCTGGCATTGTGAAGCCGTTCGTCTCACTGTGGCAACGACCCGCTGGCGACTGAGTTGGAAAAACCACAGACGAAACAACAAGACAAGCAGCAGGCTCTCAGATGGGCGCACGAGGAGACAGAGAAACATGAAGGCCAGAGTGAAGCTGCTTGGCCGCCGTCCTCTAAAGTGACCGCCCCGTCGTTGTTCAGGTCAACACTCCTGAACCTGGTAGGGGGGGGGGGAGGCAATTTTACCGCCAGGAGCAGCCCGCCATGCGGCCCCTTCACACCTCTCGTGCCTCCTCGCTGCTCCCGCCACACCCCGCCACGTCCCGCCATCTTCGGAGCAGATGACCCCTCCCTCCTCCATCGCCCGTCGTGCCTCGTCCATCGTCCCTGCTCCCTCCTGTTTCTCCTCCTGCCCACCCGCTGCCTCATGACCCCCTCTCCCTACGACTCTATGCACACCTCGTGGGTGACTGAGAACCCTGGCGTAAGAAGTTCGGACGAAGGCCCAACTACGGATGCCCCACCCCTCAAGGCGAGAAAAGTAAAAGATACCAGATCGTGAGCGCAGGAAAAGAAAGCCAGGGGGGCATCCACAAGAGGAAATCCCAAAGAAAGAACCTCCCAGTGGGGACGACCTGCCACCGGAAAGCGTGCCAGCGGGAGTCCCCCGGGTCCTCCCACAGTCCAAGGCAGATCTCCAGGGGAGTTCAATCCTTCTTGCCGTAGGCCGCTGCACCTTCTTCACAAGGGCAAGGGGGGTCTGTGGCAAAGAGAAGAGACACCAGGGACGAAGCGACGGCACGACACACCACTGCACTTTGTTGGTCGCAGCGGCGCTGATCCACGCCGCGGTCGATGGCAGCCGAGGGTACCGGACCGAATTGGGACACACCACTGCGCACACCACCGCAGCAAGGATGTGGCAGCAGGGAGCTGGACGGGCGCTCGGGACCCAGAGAGGAGACGGAGACGAAAAGGAGGATGGGGAGTTTGGGATTGCGCTTAACCCCAGGAAGCATTTAAGAACCCCCCCGGCGATATCTTAGCACCGCATTTTTATTCGATATTCCGAGAGGCCGAAATAACCGAACGATAGGTTTAGCACCCGGACACACAACAAATTCGCGGAGGCCTGGCCCCTGGGCCACAATCGAAATTCGAAATTCTAATCTGCGTGGCTCTCATGAAAGACTCAGGATGTCGCTTGCTACTTGAAAAATTCATGCAATGATAATAGTATTAATATTCGCAAGGAGAGGAGGAGGAGAAGGAGGATGAGGAGGAGGAGGAGGAGGAGGGCTCCTGGTGCCAGGTAACGCTTCCAGGGTGCGGAAGGGTTATCGATTTGCCGGAAGGGGGGGGGGGGGGTTCTTAAATGCTTCCTGGGGTTAGATGGATGCGAATCAAGCCGCCGGCGGGTTGCAATGAGAGGCCCGTCCTGTCCCATCCAGCGGGGTCAGCCAGACCCGGTCCATGCGACCTGGTGCTACCATGTCGACGACGACGACGAATGCAAAGGTCGCGCTACCATAGGTTCTCCGACCTCGACCTAAGGAACGGCCCGAAAATCAGCTCCCCTCCTGAGCCCAAAGTGGCCCGCAGTCCAGCGCTAGCCGCGTGAACATGCGCGCCATGTTGGAGCGCCGCTCGAAGAGCGTCTCCCGCAGCTGCAGGAGAAGCCGCTGTTCCTGCCGCCCGCGGGCAGGCGCGCGCGCGCGACCCCAGCACGGGTTGGCATCGAGCCGTGCCCGCCCTCGAGATCGGGCCTTGATCTCGCAAGGGCATTCGAAACCGCATCGGCCGACTTCTTGAATGCGTCCTGGCTGCCTCGTCTCTCCAATACTTTAGTCTGGGGCCTTCGTCGCGGTGGGACGGGCCGAACGGTCTTACATCGTCCCTGGGTAAGTGGTGGAAACGGGGTGGTGATCGTTGCTGCTGTCTTGTTTTGTCTTGCCGCCGTCCCGCGTTGCGACCCGCCACCAAAACCACCCGCGACCCACCACTCGACCCATCCATCCACGGCCAACCTGGGACCCACACCAGCAACCCACCCGCAACCCCCAACCACATAGCTTTGCAGCCGCCTGCTGCGGGCTGCTGTGGGGTGTGTGAAGATCATCGCCTACGGCGGGCCTTCACGCTGGCTCTCGAGCCTCGCGCCCCGCCCCCCCCCGGTCTGGCATCTTTCCTTGGCGAGAAGACATCGGCGCCCACGGCGGGCTGATGCTTCGGAGACATGGCGCCGGCGGCAGGCTTTATTACATTGGCGCTCGAACCCTGCAGCTGGCAACGCGCACGGCAGCCTGGGCGTCCACTCACGCGTATCCGCACCTGCGGGGCTGAAGTAATCTAGCCGTGGCATGCCCTCGCCTCCTGCCCTGATCCCCTCCCCTCCCGTACAGTCGGACCTAGGCCAGAAGAACATCCTTCAAGAACATGAGGCCCTCCGTCGGCCAGGACACACAGAACATGAATGGGTACCCTCGCCAGGATGCACAAGAGTATCCAACAAACACGAAGAACATTAGGGGTGCCCTCCCCGAACTGGCACCGATCTTACACCTCGGTCCGACTGTACCCGCATCCCTGCAAGGCCCAATTGGGCAACGCACGCCCCTCCATTCCCGCAGCTCGGACGCCGTAGTTTTCCTCCGGGACGCGGGTCCTGGCACACTCGACCCCTCTTGCCAGAGTCCCCGCAACCCAGTGCTCGTCGCCGTCGGATTCCCGAGGAGTCCCAGGACGGGGCCGGACACAGAGACACCTCGGAGCGCACGTGCTGCGCTTTCAGTTCGCAACGCCTGGAGGCACGGGCCCGTCCCCACATCCACCCCTCCTGTCAGCGCGCAGAGGGCGAGGGAGCGACCGCCTGAGAAGGCCCCCCGCGACTCTCCGAAGCGCTCCCGCCTCCTGAGAGATCTCCCCCAGAAGCCTCGAAGACGGGGCCGAGACCCCTCTCAGGCACGCCATGCCTTCTTGGAAGGCAGCCCCTCGCCCTGACCGTGACCAACATCCGCTCAACTCCAGGCCTCTGGCCCCTCTCAGGGGTCCATCTGGACCACTTGTTGCGCACCGCGCCCGGCCGTGGCGATTCGCCAGCAGCACCAATTGAAAAACCTTCAAACCTCAAACCTTGACGCCGTCATCCACGCCCTACGCCATGTCAGGTGATTGCGCGCGTCGCCAACTCTCGCTCGCGGGGCGTGCGTCCGAGGCCAGAACTTCTACACTGACATGTGCACCGCCTCAGAAAACGATGCCCCAGGTTCTCAGGAGGCAGTGGACACGGATAGCTTCGGACCACAGGGGGGGGCCCAGAGATTCATGCGGAGGTCCTCCTTGCCCGTGGCCAGGGATAGTTTTTCCCCGTGGCCAAGTGCCTCCAATCACTCCGACCTCGCCTAGTGCTGATCCAACAGCATCAGGCGCACAATGCACACCTGAGCAGATACTCGCACCCTCTGGGGGCAAGAGCAACCTCGATCGGGAAAACCTGAACCCGTCAGTGTTGCCATCTGCAGGGGAGCGCAATGCTTACTTCCGCCGGATTCCACCAACCTTCCGCCGGCGGAGCCAGCCCCGTTTTCCTTCAGCGGACTTTTCGCCGCCCTTCCGTCGCCTCCCGCCGAGGAGGAGATGGCAACTTCTTCGATCCTCGAAGGCGAGGCCCTGTCTGGAAGGCCCAGGTCTGAATTTTCGGGTTATAGATCGGCTCTCCGGCGGCCGTTCGGGACGATTCTGGCACCCCTGGAACGCCCTCGGCGAGGCGCAACCGCGGGAACGCATCCCCAGGCTGGAAAACCTTCGGGAACCGACGTGAAGCCGACGAAAACCTTCGGGAACCGACGAAAACCTTCGGGAACCGACGAATACCTTCGGGGACAAGCTAAAACCAACGAAAACCTTCATCGGCTCCCGAGGCGGCGGATGTGCGTCGGCTCCGGCCTCGGAGCGCGAAGCGCGGGCGGGGGGCTCTCTGCATGGGGCAGGCCGCTGGACGAACGCCGCGCCCGCGGCGTCAGTTGGCGCCCGCGCGCGCGCGGGCACCGAGCGGCAAGGCCTGGGCCACCAGAAGGTCGCAGAAGCAATGCAATGATGGACCACCCCGCCCACTGCAATCCCCACCTAGATGACACCTTCGGGGGCGGCCAAGAGGGGGGCGCCCCAGAGGGGGGGGCGCAAATCATGGCCGGCGGCACGTGCGCGGCCCAAGGGGGGGCCAGGGACGTAACTAAATAAGAAGTGGGGCCATGCAATCTGGGGAGACATCATGGCCCCCGCCATGGTATCCACCCCCCCCCAGTCATCACCCCCCTCCTGGCCGCCCTCGACACATCCACCTCCACCGCCCAGAGCAGCGAGAAAGTAGGCGGGGGCTCCTCCTCCCCCAGCGAGTCCGCACGCTGCGCCAGCACCATCCTGCGCAGCCTGTCCGCGGGCCCCGAGCGCTTCTGCAGCGCGCGCTCGCGTTCCTTGCGCGCGCCGTCGTCGTCGTCGCCGTCGTCGACGTCGTCCCCGTCGCCGTCGTCGTCGTCGTCGCCGTCGCCGTCGCCGTCGCCGTCGCCGTCGCCGTCGCCGTCGCCGTCGCCGTCGCCGTCGCCGTCGCCGTCGCCGTCGCCGTCGTCGTCGTCGTCGTCGTCGTCGTCGTCGTCGTCGTCGTCGTCGTGGTGGTTGTCGTCGCGGTCGCCGTCGCCGTCGCCGTCGCCGTCGTCGTCGTCGTCGTCGTCACCAAGCTGTGCCCCTGGCCCCCGGTTTACAACAACAACAATCATTTTACCCTCATGCGCGATGTTTCCACACGAAGCATGCGACCATCATGATAACCATCCCCATCATGGGTCATTCTTGTTCCATAGCGGGGATTCTTCCCATTCCCAGATCTCCCGCCCAATGAGGTCTTGCAAACACCTCCTCCGAAGAATTTCAACATATCCTGCCTCGAAAAGCACAAGGAAGTATTGAGCGACAGGATGGCCTTGGTGGAGATGGGGGCTGTCGGCGGCGAGGCAAGGACCTGACCCTGAATAGAAAGGGAGGAAGTCTCGAGCAGGGCCGCTGTTGTTGCTGGGAGCGGCGCAAATGCTGAAGAGAGCAGGGCGGTAGTCCAACGTAAAACAAAACGAAGTCTCGAGCGGGAACGCTGGTTTTGTTGGGACGGCGGTTGTCGGCGACGAGGAGGAACACCGCCTTGAGTAAGAAGGGAGGAAGTCTCGAGCGGGAGCCATGGTTTTGTTGGGACGGCAGCTTTCGGCGGCGAGCAAGAGCACCGTCCTGAGGAAAAAGGGAGGAAGCCTCGAGCGGGAGCGTTGTTCTTGCTGGGAGCGGCGCCAATTCAAAAGAGTAGGGCGCCAGTCCAGCGTAAAACGGGAGGATGTCTCGGGCGGGAGCGCTGGTTTCGTCGGGACGGCGGTTTTCGGCGGCGAGCAAGAGCACCGCCTTGAGTAAAAAAGAAAGGAAGTCTCGAGCGGGAGCGTTGTTGTTGCTGGGGGGCGGCGCCGATGAGAGAAAGAGTAGCGCGCCTGTCCAAGGTAAAACGTGAGGAAGTCTCGAGCGGGAGCGCTGGTTTTGTTGGGACGGCAGCTTTCGGCGGCGAGCAAGAGCACTGGCCCTGGGCAAGAAAGGATGAAATCTCGAACGGGAGCGTTGTTGTTGTTGTTGGGGGGCCGGTTTTGGCGGCCCGCTTGAGAGTGCGCCTCATTTTCAATGGAAATGCAGCCCGCGCCTCGGCGAGAGCGCCAGGGCGCCTGTAAGGGGTCCAACAAGGATAACTGTTTTGTAATTAACATTCAACGGCTCCCGCCTAACACTTCCTCACAATGTATTCCCAAATGGCGCGCTCGCGCGGGACTTCCTCACAAAGTATACAGGAATCGCGCTCTCGCGTGGGACTTCCTCACAATTTATTCAGACGGCGCGCCCTCGACACTCAGGAATCACGCTCTCGCTCTGGATTTTCTCCCAATTTATTTGGAAATCGCGCTATCGCTCGAGACTTCCTCGCGATTCATGCTGGACGCACGCTTCAGCAACTTGCGTGGCCCTTGTACCTTCCTTCCATCCGTCCTCTCTCCCCCTGCCGCGAGGCTGCACGAAATACACGCTGCGGGTAAGAAAGATCTACCCCTAAGTGAGTACAATCGAAGACGAAGAGGGCGGGTATCGAGGGTTTGGGATATTACGTGTTGAACGGCACGCGAGCAGGTAATAGCGAACAGTTGTTTCAACTGAATGGGTTTGCCGTTGGTGTCGGTGCTGATGTTGTTGCTGTTGCTATTGCTGTTGTTGTTGATGCTGTTGTTGCTTTTGTTGTTATGGTGGTGTTGGTGGTATTGTTGTTGTTGTGCTGTTGCTGATGTTGTTTGGGGGCCCGTTTCGGCGCAACCCCGAAACGCCTGAGCGTGATCCCAAATCCCAGAAAGAAATGCAGCCGGAGCCGAGGCGAGAGCGCCAGGGCGGATGTAGGGTGTCCGATAAGAACAATGACCTGTTTAAGAAGGTGCAACAGCAACAATCATTTTAAGACTGTTCGCTCGTAGCTGCCCGCGTGCCATCCAGCACGTCTATCCCAAACCCTCGATACCCGCCCTCTTCGTCTTCGATCGTACCCCCCTTGGGGGTTACATCTTCCCTACCTGCCGCGTGTAGTTGGCGCAACCCCTCAAATAGGAAAAGGCCACGAGGAGGGAGAAGGATAGAGAAGAGAGAGACATTTGCAGGAGGGTTAGGAGCAGAGGTGCAAGCGGCAGAACCAGACGGGCGGGTCGGGCGGGCGGACCCTAACGGGCAGGTCGGGCGGGCGGGCCGCTGAAATTATATGCAACATGAATCCCAAGGAAGTTTCGAGCGATAGCGCAATACGAAAATGAATTGTGAGGAAATCCACAGCGAGAGCGTGCTTCCTGAGCCTTGGGGGCACGGCGCCGCAAAACATTGTGAGGAAGTGCCATGCGAGAGCGCGATTCCTGCATACATTCTGAAGAAATCCTGCGAGAGAGTGCGAATTTTCAAGACATTGTGAGAGAAAATCAAGCGAGAGCTGCTGTTGTTGGGGGCCAGGGGCGAAGTTTGAGGACCAAGACTTGCCCTTGTTAAAAACCATGGTGCGAGCCCCGGGAGACGCACTTCAATTGAAAAACACAAGGTGCACCAGAGGGGCGGGATCAACAATAATGGTTCTTTGGAAATGAAGAACCAACCACAGAAAGTCAATAAAAGTCTGACCATGCACTGTTGAAGAGCGTTCCTGGTAAAGGCCAGGGCGGTGCAGGGCCCAAGGCGGGCCTGGTTTGGGCGCATGGTGCTGGATCGGAGGCTGGCTTCCAGACTCCGTCTGGAAACCCTGGGAGGCCTTGGCCATGGGAAGCCCTGAGAGGCCCCAGCCCACTCTGGGCAGGGAGATCCTGGGGTGCATGGTCCTTGGGAGACTGGTGGGGATCGGGATCGGGCGGGAGGAGTACACTTCACCGCGCAACTTTTGCCGCCCTAGAGACAATGGTCGCGTGCGCTGCGACGCACTGGGCGGTGCCCTGAGCTAATTACTGCGGGACGTCATGGAGGCTCGGCGTCGCCGCCGAGAACTGGGGAGTCGGGGTGCGGCTTGCTCGCCTTGGACCAGAGCTTGTGCTCAATGGGTTCCATGACGTTCACGCGCGTCCACTGGTACTTGGCGGCCTCCGTGCACCTGCTCAGCTTCACCTGTGTGGCCTCGAGGGGCGCATTGTCAATGCACTGTGGGAAGAATCGCTGCCTGCCGTTGTCCTCCCAACCTCCATCGAGCTGCACAGCACCGATGTCGTCGGCGACCCGGAACATCTGCTTACGACCAGCCGTCGGCTCATGGCACGGGTACAAGATCGGCACGCCCCCGTTGCCTGCATCGATGCAATACCCGAGGGGCACGAATGATACCTGGTGCCGGTCGCTGAGCTCTTTCCAGCGCATGTTGTCCTGGCACTTGCGCATCATCAGCCGCACCTCCAATGGCCCTCCTTGCTGGTGGCGATCGCCAGTCAGGCACTGGCTGGAGTCGATGTCCAACAACTGAAAACTGCCGTCGGGCCTGATGTCGTGGCGCTTCAGCCTCTGCCCAGCCTTTGGGGTGCACGCCTTCAGCTTCATTTGGGAAGGCACCTCCTTCATGGTGATGCCCTTTCTCGAGTTGTCCACATCAACGCAACGGCTCGTGGCCGAATCCCACAACAGCCTGTCGTCCTTGAACTGCCAGACTTGGTTTGGGTTCTCCACCTGCCCGTCGTAGCAGGGATAGACCAGCAGCTTCGAGCCGCCGGCCGCATCGAGACACTGCCCGTCAGCCACGCGCACCACCAGACCCATCTCCGTCTGCTCTGCGTGGAAGACCTGCCTGGAATCGCTGTCGTCACACTCGGCAACGCGCAGCGCCCACCCCAAGCTGCCAGCGCCGGCGGCATCGACGCGCGCTGCCGCCAGGCACAGGCCGCCTTGCCTGAACTGCACGGGCTGGGCCCCCTGGGTGGGCCCGCCCGCCCGCGCCGCCTCCCCGGTCGCAGGCTTCGCCTGCAGCGTGCAAATGGAGGCCAGCCCTGGCTCGGCAGCGCCGTGCAGCCCTGACCCTCGCGGCCCTCGCAGAAGCTGCGGCACCACGCAGTCCTCGCCGCTGCGGTACAGCAGCTTCCCGCTCGCGGCGTCAAGGCTGAACACCTGGGCGTCGTTGAAGCCAGAGATGTCGCACTCGAACGTCTGCACAGGCTGACCAGGGCCCGTCGCCATGAGGCACTGGAGGAAGTTCCAGTTGTGGATGCCGCTGCAGCAGGGAGCGCCGGGCTTCGTCCTGTTGCGATTGCCCGCGTGCCACAGCTGCAGCTCGGATATGCCGTCTGTGCCTGTTGACAAGCAGCCGCTGCACGGCCGACTGGCACGCCCGTGCCCCTCCTCCAGTCTGGCGGAGCACGGGGCCATGATCACCGCGTGGGGCGGTTCGTCCTTTGGAAGACGCTCCAGGCACAGGCCAGTGCTCTCCTCGCGGAGCTGAAAGACCTCCCGCGGTATGAGGCCGCCGTCAAAGTAGACGTACGAGAAGCGCTGGATGTATGAAGAGAAGGGCGCGCACCTCTGTTGCTTCTTCAGCCGATCGAAATTCTCAAACGTGCCCAAGTGGTGCTCCCCACTTTCGAACTGCCTGTACTCTGGGAACGTGAAGCTCTTCTCCGCGAACTCGCTGAACCAAGCCTTCACCGCGCGGCCCTTGTTTCGCATGACGTCCTCGGTGGGCATCGGGTACTGTAGGCGCGTCTTGGGGTTGCTGGCCACGCGCCACATGTGCGCGACGTAGGCGCCCTCTGCTACCTCGATGCGGCCGCCACAGAGCCACACACGGAGCGACTGGTCGATGTTCTCGCCGCCCCAGGCCACCATGTGCTCGTCATAGCCTCCAGTCTCATACCACCACTTGCGCGTGAGTGCCAGCAGTCCGCCGCTCATCAGAGGCACGTCGCGGCCAGGGTTGCCAAGCCAGGTGAAGTCGGCGTTCCAGAGGATGAAGCAGGCCTTGCTGTGGGCACCCGCGTCTTCCTGCCACGTCTCTGGGTCGAGCGAGGTGATGGTTGGCACCACGACGGTCCGGTGGTCGCCGGCTCGCTGCATCTGCTTGACGAAGGCCTCCTCCCAGCCGTCCCTGGGGCTGACGTGGCAATCAAAGAACACGATGATGTCGCTCACCGCCGCGTCTCCCCCCGTCTTCTTGGCGGCGATCAGGCCGAGCGTTTTGTTGTGCCGCAGTAGGCGCACCTTCGGGTTGCTCTTGAGCCTTTCGGGGAGCACCGACGAGAGCGGCGGAGTGCTGCCGTCGTCGACCACGAGCACCTCTTGGAGCCGCCAGTTGGTGTGGTTCCAGAGGGAGTCCACCGTCCTCTCCGCATAGCCCCCCTCGAATGCGCAGGGGAGCACCACGCTGATCGTGCCCCACGGCGCCCCTGAAGGCGGACGCCCCCCCCCTTCCTCCCTCCAGCCGCGCATCGACTGCCGCCTCTAGGGGGACCAAGTACGGCATACACACCATGTCTCTGAGATCCGCGCAGATTTCCTGGATCGGCGCTGGGGCCCTCCTCCCCGGAGGCGCCGCCAGGAGCCAGGGGGGGCCCAGCACCGATCCAAGGCATCCGCGCGGAGCTCCGACATTTCATGTTGATGTAGTTTCTTGTTTTTCGAGCCTCACGTCGGCGCGCCCCACGCCAGGGCCGCCTCTTTGGACGCCCGCAATGGGGACAAGAAAAAGGTACGATGCCAAGGAACAAATGTTATCCAAAACCGACCGCGGCCGCTGTTGGCCAAGCGGCCTTTCTGTCTCCAAAGAACGGCGTCCGCGGCGGCACCGACAGCGTGCTCTGCTCAAGATGCAAAGGAAATGCAGCCGGTCTTTGTGCCCACTTTTCGGCGGCGAGCCGGGGGGGGGGGGAAATGAGAAGGAGAAGGCCTTCTCAGAAGGCTCGGAAGCCCCCCCGGCCTTCTGAGAAGTCTTCTAAGCCTCCCCCGACGACAGAAACATCTTCTCAGAAGGCGCGAGGGCTTCTGAGAAGTCCCGCCCGCCTGATGAGCAGGCCTTCTCCTTCTCACCTCCTCCCCCCTCCCTCGCCGCCGCATCTCGCTCTCCCCGAGCCTCCGTCCGCGCCGTCCTGGCCCGGCGGGAGCGCCTGGGCGTAGGAGGCGCACAGCAGCAGGGCCAGGACGATGGCGCTGGCCGCCGCGGCAGGCAGGCCGCGGGGCACCGCGGCGGAGATCGCAGCGCCCAGCAGCAGGGCGACGAGATCGATGTCCACGTCCCCGGAAGGTCGGGCGTTGCCCAGAGGTGGTCGTGGTCCGAGAGAGCATGCTCGCACTCGCGGCGGTCACGGGCATGGGTGGGGGAACGGGGACTGGGGGGGCACACCGTAACCGAGGGAAGCCATTGAGAACCCCACCGGTGTTATCGTCAGCACCGGAACAAAAAAATAGTAATTCGCAGAGGTGGATTCAGCGGAGCGATAGCTTGACCACCGCACCGAACAGCAACAAATTAACAATTATTCTCCGCCCCCGCTACCGACATCGATATAACTAGTAAGAACTTTGACGGTAAGAGCGCAGGAACCCTGTCCTCCTCCTCCTCCTCCTCCTCCTCCTCCTCCTCCTCCTCCTCCTCCTCACTGTCCTTCCCCATCCCTGCCCTCCCCCTCCCTGTCCTCCTCCTCCTCCGTATCCTCCCCATCCCTTCCCTCCTCCTCCTCCTCCTCCTCCTCCTCCTCCTCCTCCTCCTCCTCCTCCTCCTCCTCCTCCTCCTCCTCCTCCTCCTCCTCCTCTCAGGTTGCCAAGATAACGCTTCAGGGTGCTTGGTGCATTATCGTTTCACCGAAGGGGGGCGGGATTCTAAAATGCTTCCTTCGGTAACCGCTCCCCCCGCAGTGTGGGTCTGGCAACACAGACTGTGGTGCCGGACGCGCTGCGGCACTGCAGGGAGCGCATGCGCACGGGGTGGCTGGAGCATTACGCCATTGGGAGGGGGGGGAGAACGGGGGGCATAACGCGGGTTATGGCCACAAGGGTTAAAGAAACATCCTCCAAACAAGAGGCCACGCCTGAGGTCCGGGCGTGTGAGTTGCAACTATTTCAAGCTGGGCGTCGTCGCCTAGTTTCGAGCCACGAGGTCATCAAACATCGCCTAGCTTCCTAGTTTCGAGCCGCGGAGAGTGCCGCAAAAAGATGGGGTCTGGGGCTACGGTCGTAATTTACCGGCGATGCTGCAACTTTCTCGCAGCGTCGGACCTCAAGGACCGCTCTTTCCGTGTCGGCCCTGGGGGCCTCCACCACCCGTCTCTCGGGGCCCAGGAGCACCTCGGGCGCCCCGTGCTGCGCGGGAACACGGGATGAGGAGGAGGAGGAGGAGGAGGAGGAGGAGGAGGAGGAGGAGGAGGAGGAGGAGGAGGAGGGAGGGGGAGGAGGAGGAAAAGGAGGAGGAGGAAGAGGAGGAGGAGGACGGGAGGCACCTGGCCGGCCCCAGAACACCTGGACTCAAGACTGCGGACGTCTCGGCGTCACTCCCGCCGCCCTCCGCCAACCCTCCGCCGCGGGGCCGTCGCCGTCTTCCTGTTTTTTCGCCGCGCCCCGCCGGCCGCCCACCGACGGCGCGACGCGCCAAAGGCGGAGGAGGAGGAGGAGGAGGAGGAGGAGGAGGAGGAGGACGAGGAGGAGGAGGAGGGGGAGGAGGAGGAGGAGGAAGAGGAAGAGGAGGAGGAGGAGGAGGAGGAGGAGGAGGAACGAAGTCTGGAGCGCGTCGCCCCAAAGATCCAATGCCCTGACTTTCCCCGACCCTTTCCTCCACCGGCTACAGGCAGGGGTGACCCCGGGTGAGAGTGACCCCTGGTGCGCGGCCTTTGGGGTGGGGGGGGTACGGGGGGGCGAAACACGAGCGCGCGAGACGCGACTACCGCATCGCGCTCGGTCATCGGGGGGCCCCGGTGGGCCCGCAGCAAAGGTCGCTCCGGCGAGGGGTCACTCTCACGTGTAGTCGACTCAAGGGCAGACCGCTCGTCCCGAGACCTTCTCCGACGGCCCCAGGTCCCGCCGAGGGGCCTCCACGGACGCCAGACACTCGAGTAGGGGGGATCGACTGCAGAATTGATGACATGTCCGTCGAATCTGCAGAGGAACAAACGTATCAGGTTCGCAGATGTGCAGACTTACGCGCTTTTTGCCCGGGGCTCGGCGAACAAATCAGGTCTGGGGTAATTCAAGGAGCGTTTTCTCACTCGGCGGTTCGATATTGGGCGGACGGGGGGGAGGGATTTGGCTTCGAACCCCTGCTCAGTGCGACTGTTTGCAGCAGTGCGTCCTGTCTGTGGGGGAGAGACCCCGCCGGCTTGAATCAGGAGCCAGAAGCAACCAAAACCTACTCCAGGGGGAATGGAAGGGGGGGTGCAAAGGGCCCGCGCCGATCAGCAAAACAGAACATAAGAGGACAGTCGCTCCTCGAAAAACGACGACGAACCAGGACGCCGGAGGTCTGGCTCGGGCCAGCGCCACCTCTGCCCACGCCCGAGGCAGGATGCCCCCGCGGCGCGGCCGGAGCCCTCAGGGCGACGACCGCGAGCGGCAGCGCCAGCGCCGGCAGGCACCTGGAGAGGCCTCCCCGACAGGGTGCCAGCAGCCGGGGTCGAGGGATAACGCAGCATCGCGCATCGCCGATGCATCGGCGACTAGAAGAAGAAGCGAAAGCAGAAACACAAACTGTTGGCGCTGCGCGCGGATTTCTTGAATCCGCGCTGGACCCCCCTCCCTGGCGCGCGGAGCGCGCCAGGGGCCGCGCCGGAGGCGCCGCCGTGGCGGCGCCCAGCGCGGATCCAAGAAATTCGCGCGGAGCGCCAAAAATAATATATGTTTATGGCGTCTTTGCTTCTTATATGAGCATCGCGCATCGCCGGTGCATAGGCGACGTCGGCGATGCATCGGCGACGTCGACGTGGGGGAAATCGGGCTCCACATCGAGCCGCGTCGCCCATCGCAGCGGCGATGCGTCGGCGATTGAGCGCGATCCTCCGACCCCAGACCCCCGACGTCATGATCTTCTTCATGATGTGGGCCCCCAAAGGTCTCGACCCATTCCCCGGGACGGGTCCTTCATCCCGAGTCGTTTCTTGACGGTCCTGAGGTCCAGCAAGGGCCTCTGGAGGCACAAAAACGATAGCAGAAACAACCAACAAAAACGCCTGCCCGGGTCTTGTACCCCGTCGACACTCCGACCCCGTCTGGGAGGCCATGGAGCACCGCCGTGCCCAGCTGGTCGGGCCGTGCCGGTCAGCGGAGGCATCCAGCCTCCTGGCCGCCGGCGCGCCCGCGGCGGCCGGCCGCGCCTTCACCATGCAGCGGGGCTGGGGCCGAGCCTGCCGGCAATGCCGCCCGGCGCCGCGGGCATGCCGCGGCGCAGCTCGCCGGGGCCCTCCCTGCAGGGCGGGGGCTTTTGCACACCCTGTCCTTCCAGAGGGCTATGTTTTAGGACTGGAGGCCTAAAAACCGAAAAAAATAAACGAAACATCCTAAAACCAAGACGTAAAATAGCTGTGGGATTTTTGTTTAAGTCCGGTGCTATTTTTCTAGCCCTCCTGGAAGGTCAGGGTGGTACGCGTCCACCGTCTGGGGAGCCGGTGTCGTGGGTCCCCGTATGCGGGGCGGCGGGTGCAGACGCACAGTGAGGACGCAGAGGCTCTCGGGCCTTCCATTGGACAAGCGCGTTCCACTGCTCGCTACTCGCAAATGGCCTGCAGCTGCCGCGGGGGGATCTGCGCTCTTTTACATCAAAGGGGCCGTTTGTTTTCGGACACTTGCGAGTAGGCATTTTGCGAGTAGTGGAACGCACGCGGTGATCCATCCATCCATGTAAAACCTCGGATGCCAGAGCGGGCCAGGGATTGGCCGAAGAGGCAAGGATGCAACCCTGCGATCCGACGTCTCGAAAAAAATGCAACATCGTAAGAGATCACGCCCGGAGCCCTGGACCCTATTTTTCGAGCGGGATCCCTCTGTGAGGGTCCTGGGGCCCGAAGATGCGCGAAAACGCCCAGCTCGAAAAAAAATGAGCCGCCAGGATAGCAGGGAAGGGTGCCCTTGCGGAAGCACCGCGTCCTCACCCGGCGTCGCGGCGCGACCCTCCGACCCCGTCGGCTCCGACCCCCTCTGCTCCTCGACGATGTGCCTCGCCGGCTGCCCGCACAGCGGGACCTCCCAGGAGCTGCATCCGAAGGCGGCAGGGGCAGGACCGGGTGCGCCGAAGACCGTGGACTTTGACTGCACGTCTGGGCCCCACTGGGCCCGAATACCTCCATCCCTGAGATCCTGGCAACTCAATTTTTTTGAGCTGGGCGTTTTCGCCTAGTTTCGGGCCACGGGACCCTCACGGATCGACCCGGCTCGAAAAATGACGAAGCAGGGTAGGTAGGGTCTAGGGTTCCAGACGTGATCTTCTACGATGTCTCAATTTTTCCGAGACGCCGGATCTCAGGGCCCACCGCCTCCCGAGATCCACGAGGGTCGTTCCCCCAAGGCGATGGATGAGGACAAATCTCGGCCTCAGACTCCCGCTGGTCGCTGCGAGCAGCTCGAGCCAAAGGCTGCGTAAGGTTCACCAGCCTGGAACGCACCCCTATCCTTGTGATCGGTATCACGTTATTCCAGGGCCGATCTGAAGGATTCCCTCAGTTTCGGATGGCGCATCCCTGAGATTGCCATCTGGGGATAGGGATGAGATGGTGGCTGGTTAAAGATGCGCGCGCATGCACGGATGTAAGTTGCATGGTGGCAGCGGATGGGCCCAAAACGCAAATCAATCCCATGGTGATCTGAGTTGACGAACGCGTCTTACAGGCACGCTCTCGGATGGGGCACGCCCCCACTCGCAACACAACGTCCCAGTGCCAGCACCGGCGCAGCGCTGCCACTACGGCCACGGGCCGATGGCAGAAGCCTCTGGCCGCTCCGGAGGAGTGCTGCAGCATGGGCGAGGCCCGTCGCCGACGACATCGACGACGCCCCCCAGGACGACGGCGTGGGCCCACGGCTCCTTGTGGGAAGCGGCCCGCCATTCGGGCCGGTCCAGGTCCGGGCCGCCCAACGTCGGCCCCGCGGCGGCGGCGGCGGCCCTCGGCGGCGCCCGCGGAGCCCGGTGCAGGTGGCCGGCCGGCCGGCCGGTCGGGGAGGGCGGGATCGACCGGGCCCGGAGGGGGCCCCTTGCGGTGACCCTCCGAGAGGGCTGGCGCACCGCGCGGCGCTGGCGGCACGCGTCGCCGGCGGAGCCGCCGGCTCGGGGATGATGCCACGCTGGCTTTCACCCCCGCTCCCTCCCCCCTCCCCCCCCCCTCCCCTCTGCCCTCCCCCCTTCCTCCCCCCCCCCTTCCTCTCCCCTCCCCCCTGCACCCTCCCTCCCCTCCCACTGCCACAATGAGATGCTCCCTCCCCCCTCTCCCCCTCCTCCTGTTTGCCACGGGGATTCCTCCGCGCTGGTACGGGGATCTGCCTTGGGGTAAACGTGTGCCCTAGTCTACCGAGGCCCTCCCGCACGGCGCAGGCGGTGCAGTGGTCTCTGAATTTGAAAGGGGTAAGCACACACATGCACATATACACATATACACACAATACACATATTTACACATGTGCATATATACACATATAGACATATACACATATACACATATACACAGACACAGACAGACAGACAAACAGACAGACACACACACACACACACACACACTGTGGACTGACGTACTTCTTGAGGATCATCGAGTCTCTCCTGCGCGAAGCTCGAGGCTCCGGGACGCCATTACTCCTCTCCTGGGCACCGCGTGGGCTTCCAGAGGCGGCGGGGCAGCGCGGGCTCCACCCCCTCCGCGCCTCGCGCAGAGCGCAGTCGCACTCGCCTGCGCGGCCTCAAGCCGCCGCTCCTCCCGTGCCCTGCCCGCCCTGCTGGAGAAGCACAGCGGCCCGGCCCAGACAGCGACGCGCCGAGCGCAGCTGCCTCCGCGCAGGTGGTCTCCTTCGGGACCCCTGGGCACACACGCGCGGACTTCTCCCGAAGGTAGACACACTAATATTTACTATAATTACTCGTATCCGCAGTATTGATCTTAGTCGTAAAAGAAAAAATAATCCTACAACCCTCGTCAAAAATAAACTGAGGGATTCTGTTTTCGGTGATTGCATGGTCAGCGCTACTCCAATGCTGACGCTAGATATCTGACGTGGACGCAAGGGCTTCAAAAATCCGACGCACCCTCCGCAGCACTGAAGAACGCAATTTTCAACAAGTGCCCGAGAAGGTCGATCGTCGTGATTTCCAACTGCGTTTCTGTTTATTTTTGACGAGGCTTGGCCGCTTTAAAAATCAGTCTTGACCCCAAACAATAGGTTATTGCATTATCTTGGCACCATCTGTGCGGCGCAATGCACATCGCGCTAAACTGCCACGCGCGGCGCCCAAGGAACTCGAGCGCGGCAGCCGCGGAAGACGCGGGGGCCGGCGGCGGCGGCGCGGCCGACGGCGGGGGGGAGGCACCGATTTACTTGGTCCTATCAAGGAGATATACTTCTAGACCCCCCCGCGGCAACCTGGCAGCCGCCCCTGGACCCCCCCGCGGCAACCTGGGGGCCGCCCACTCGGCATGCGCTTTGATACAGCGCGGCGAACACCGCAGTCACTTCGACACATTATTTGTACAACAACTACCCACCCTTGCCCACCAGAGTGTATTTTTTGCAAAGGATTATGGCCGGGTAGTTGTTGGTACTAACCAACAACTACCCGGCCGCCGCCCACTCGGATTGCATTTTTATATAGCACGGCGGTCACCGACGTCACTTCGACATATTATTTGTACAACAACTACCCACCCATGTCCACCGGAGTGTATTTTTTGTCACGGATTATTGCCGGGTACTTGGGTAGTTGCATTTTTCTGAAAAGAATAAGATGGCCCCCCTTTCCTTTCTTTTAAAAAATCTGCAACTACCCAAGCACCCGGCAATAATCCGTGACAAAAAATACACTCCGGTGGACATGGGTGGGTAGTTGTTGTACAAATAATATGTCGAAGTGACGTCGGTGACCGCCGTGCTATATAAAAATGCAATCCGAGTGGGCGGCGGCCGGGTAGTTGTTGGTTAGTACCAACAACTACCCGGCCATAATCCTTTGCAAAAAATACACTCTGGTGGGCAAGGGTGGGTAGTTGTTGTACAAATAATAGTCGAAGTGACGGCGGTGTCCGCCGCGCTAAATCAAAGCGCGCATGCCGAGTGGGCGGCGGCGGGGTAGTTGGACAAATACCCGCCATCATCCTTTGTAACAACCCTCCTTTGGGCGGCGGCGGCGCGAAAGCTCCCAGCCGCTCAAATTTCCATAACATTGGAACGTCTACCTGTGATTTTGCACCGCCCCTTCTCCCTAGCTGCGCCGGTTCCGACACAACGACCTAAACGCGTCTTCCGTGTTGTTGACCTGGCGATTTGCTACTGTCACGCTGCCGCGGACGCCGAGAATCGCGCGAAAGCTCCCAGGCGCAAGAATTTCCACAACATTGGAACGTCGACCCGTGATTTTGCACGAACACCTTCTCCCTAGCTGTGCCGTATCCGATTCAACGACCTAAATGGTCCTCCGCGCTGTCGACCTAGCGATTTGCTAACTGTTACGCCACCGCGGACGCCGAGAATCGCGCGAAAGCTCCCAGACGCACAAACTTCCATCACATTGAAACGTCTACCCGTGATCTTACACCAGGTGATTGTGGCGTCGATGGCTGAGGTGTCGATGGCGCAGACGACGATGCCGACGATTTATCTGTCTCGTCCCCCCGAACCTGTTCAATTCAGCGCCGCGCGACCAAGGGTGGGCGGCTGTCTGGGCGGCGGCAAGCTAGTCGCTAAACGCAAACAAATTCTGCAGCCGAGCGGACGGACACGCGCTGCGCACTAGCGAAAGAAAGCGGCTTAGAAACATATAAGCGAACAGCCGCTTTAAAAATCAGTCTTGACCCCAAACAATAGGTTATTGCATTATCTTGGCACCATCTGTGCGGCGCAATGCACATCGCGCTAAACTGCCACGCGCGGCGCCCAAGGAACTCGAGCGCGGCAGCCGCGGAAGACGCGCGGGGCCGGCGGCGGCGGCGCGGCCGACGGCGGGGGGGAGGCACCGATCTACTTGGTCCGATCAAGGAGATATACTTCTGGACCCCCCCGCGGCAACCTGGCAGCCGCCCCTGGACCCCCCCGCGGCAACCTGGGGGCCGCCCACTCGGCATGCGCTTTGATGCAGCGCGGCGAACACCGTAGTAACTTCGGCATACTATTTGTACAACAACTACCCACCCTTGCCCACCAGTGTGTATTTTTTGCAAAGGATTATGGCCGGGTAGTTTTGGTTCTAACCAACAACTAGCCCCCCCCCCCCGGACTCCCGCCGCCCACACGGATATGCATTTTTATATATATATTATTATAGACAGGCGGTCACCGTCGTCCACTTCGACATAGTATTTGTACACAACATCTACCCACGGGCCCATGTCCACCGAGTTAATTTTTTTGCACGGAATTATTGCCGGAGTGCTTGGGTAGTTGCATTTTTTCTGAAAGAATAAGATGGCCCCCCTTTCCTTCCTTTTAAAAATTTGCAACTACCCAAGCACCCGGCAATAATCCGTGACAAAAAATACACTCCGGTGGACATGGTGGGTAGTTGTTGTACAAATAATATGTCGAAGTGACGTCGGTGACCGCCGTGCTATATAAAAATGCAATCCGAGTGGGCGGCGGCCGGGTAGCTGTTGGTTAATACCAACAACTACCCGGCCATAATCCTTCGCAAAAAATACACTCTGGTGGGCAAGGGTGGGTAGTTGTTGTACAAATAATACGTCGAAGAGACGGCGGTGTCCGCCGCGCTAAATCAAAGCGCGCGCCGAGTGGGCGGCGGCGGGGTAGTTGGACAAATACCCGCCATCATCCTTTGTAACAACCCTCCTTTGGGCGGCGGCGGCGCGAAAGCTCCCAGCCGCTCAAATTTCCATAACAGTGGAACGTCTACCTGTGATTTTGCACCGCCCCTTCTCCCTGGCTGTGCCGGTTCCGACACAACGACCTAAACGCGTCTTCCGTGTTGTTGACCTGGCGATTTGCTACTGTCACGCTGCCGCGGACGCCGAGAATCGCGCGAAAGCTCCCAGGCGCAAGAATTTCCACAACATTGGAACGTCGACCCGTGATTTTGCACGAACACCTTCTCCCTAGCTGTGCCGTATCCGATTCAACGACCTAAATGGTCCTCCGCGCTGTCGACCTAGCGATTTGCTAACTGTTACGCTACCGCGGACGCCGAGAATCGCGCGAAAGCTCCCAGACGCACAAACTTCCATCACATTGAAACGTCTACCCGTGATCTTACACCAGGTGATTGTGGCGTCGAGGGCTGAGGTGTCGATGGCGCAGACGACGATGCCGACGATTTATCTGTCTCGTCCCCCCGAATCTGTTCAATTCAGCGCCGCGCGACAAAGGGTGGGCGGCTGTCTGGGCGGCGGCAAGCTAGTCGCTAAACGCAATCTAATTCTGCAGCCGAGCGGACGGACACGCGCTGCGCACTAGCGAAAGAAAGCGGCTTAGAAACATATAAGCGAACAACCCTCGTCAAAAATAAACTGAGGGATTCTGTTTTCGGTGATTGCATGGTCAGCGCTACTCCAATGCTGACGCTAGATATCTGA